CTGAACTGAACAAAAAGGCCCCTTTGAGTCAGATCAAAGGTGTTGAGAGGGAGGAGTATAGGCAGTTTGCTAGGAGATTGTTTATACCTGAGCAGTTATTTCTTGTAAGGAGAGCTTGATTTTTGAGCCTTCAGACTCGTTCCAAGAGGTTGGACTGAAGGAAATGAGCAAGCATCTACGGAAAAAGTGTTCTTAAACTTGGGAACAGTGCACATCCTGGCAGTGGGAATTAATCAAAGCTTGTTTACAAGAGCTATTTTTAGCATAAAAGGTTATCATAAACACTGCAATAAGCATTTGCCATTACAGTTCAAAGTTTCTTGTGGATGAATAAGTTCTACTCTGGTGCTTAGAAAATTTTTCAAAATAGACCTGATTAAAAATATTTATCAAAATTTGATGAAGATTGAGACATGGACTGAAAAGTACTGTATCAAAACTTGATACAAACCAAGAAATACTGCCTTGGGGCAATATGAACAGTGGGTGATGACCCATCAAACTGGGACATGGGACACAGTTGCTCTGTTCCTGGTTCTGCTGTAGCTCTGACAGTCGCCCCAGGGAGACCATTGCACTTTTCTGTGGCTCTCTGACGTGTTTCAAGATCTCTCGATCTCAGCTGGACAGGGATTCTCCCTCCTTTGTAGGCTTCCCAGTGCTACAAGAGCACTGTCTTGGCTGGGATCCATAAAGGTAACTATTATATGAACAATAATATTACAGTACTTCATTCTGCTGAATGTGCTGTTAATTTATAGTTAGACTAGCATATTTGCAGTCCAGTCTCCCTGGCATACTGTCATGGTGCCTGAACTGAGATACTCCCATTAGTAGAGATGGAAAAAATTGCAGGAAAAAATAAGAAATGAATCCTTATTTCAAAATTTAGTTAGCAGCTATTTTGAAAAGCAATGCTGACAGCAAAACCTCTACCTAAAATTTGGGGTAAACTGAGTCCATGGTTACCTTTCTTTAAGACCTGGAAAATTCTGGCAAGTCTACGTGGGGTGCCGCTACCTGGAGAAAGTGACCTCAGACCTGCTGGAAAGCAAGTTCTGCCCCACCTCCTCATGCTAACCTCCTAGTTTGGTCCCAGCTTTCTCAAATGTTTTCCATCTGAAGCTGAAATTTCTTATGCGAAAGAGAAAGACGTTAGGGATTTCTGGGAGCGGCTTGCAGTAGCAATGGCTTTATTTGTTTTCTTTCTGCAAAATAGATTCTTTCTAAAGCAAAACGGAGTTTTGCTAGTGGCAGTAACTGAATTGCTTCTGATGTATCGGTCTCCTAATGTGTGTATATCCTCTGTGTATTAGTAGCTGGTGATTTTCACAGGAGAAAGGGAATAAGCTGTAATGCTGTAACCACAGCCATATGAGGGACTTATTTGTTATTTATATTACTATAATTATAGTAAGTTACCTGATACAGGGAATACTAGGGCCGCCACAGTGATGCCCGGCATGTCTTTGCTGCGGACTAAGGATCTTCGGGTAGTTAATATGCCTCAGGGGTTTAGCCCAGATGATGCCTTCTGGGACTGTGTGTTTGCAACCACCACAAAGAACCTGGACACACCAGAAGACCTGAGCGCCTTTGGTGCATCCCCCAGTGCCTGGGCTTCCCTGGGCAGCTGCCGGGGGATGGTCATGGGGGACAGGCAAGGAATAGACGGGCAGCGGCACAGTGGTCCCTGGAGGTACTTGTCACCTACCTTTATTTGCCTCATAGTGCCTACAGTTTCCTTGATAGAGCTGCTCCGTCTTTGAAACCTGAGCATGCCCTATTAAGTTCTACAAGAATCCTGTGTCTGCTGCGGCCGGGGCTGCTAAGGTGGAAGGAGGGGATGCAGTGGGGTTTATTGATTCACCAGGGAAGCTGGAGGGTGTCTGCAAAACACCTTGGTTGCGCTTTTGGTTTGTGTGACAGGGGGTGAACAGCAGCACAAACTCTCTTCTCTCCATCCTCCCAGCCCACATCACAGATGTCTCCAGCTGGACGAAGGTAATTTTAATAAGAAAAGTTGAACTCTGATCCCACAAACCCCTGTAACTGCGTGCTTTATAGCTGACTATATCTTTAAGTGCTGGGCTCAGCTAGGACGTTAAGGGTTTGAACCTGCAGCCCTGATGTGAGTGATCCTATGTCCTCTGTGTGTGTTTGTATAAGTAATATAATTTATATACATGGAAAAGCAAACTTAATCATCTGATAATACAAGTAAAGTGTTTGTCTTTCACTGTTGGAGGTATTTAAGAATACAAATGCTTTGAATAGCCTTCCTGCCTTTGAATGGTCATGTTTTGTTAATGCAAACTTAATGAGCTGGGGAAAAAAATGGAAAGGAGGGTCTGGGGTTAGAGCTGAAAAGTCAGTTTTTTCTCTGAACCCACACTTGGCTGATTGTCTTGGGCCATAGCCATGATCCCTGCTGAATAAACCATTTGTTTGCTTCCGGAAAAGTAAAAAAAGACCCTTGACATTCTTTACGCAGCAGAAACAAGCTTGGGAGCAGATGGTCACTTACCTTTTTTTTTTTTTTCTTCCCTAAATGTCATTATGGTCAAAGTGCATACTATTCAAATATATTATTGTGTATTTTCTGTATTTTAAATGCTAACCCTGAGGTAATTTCCTGAAGTCAGTTGCTTTGTGCTGAGGAGGAACCATCCCCTGCGTGCGTAGTTAGAATTGCGGTGCAGGCACACAAAGTGATAAATCCCCAGCCTGTGCGAGCCATCCCCAGAGAGCATCTTGTCTCCCCTGCTACCAAACGATTCCTCTGAGAAGCAAAGCATGATAAACCAAGTGCTCCCAGTGGCTCTGGGGCCAAGTCCCTTTGTTCCCTTGTTTGCACGATGGGTAGTGGGCTGCTGCCAGGGAGGGATGTTGAGAAGCAGGAGGAGGATGTAGAAGCAGCAACCAGCATCATTTTTGTCACTACTCATCTGTTCCAAACAGCAGCTCAGAGGGCTCTGCGTTTGCTCGCTGTCCATCCTTAGGCACTAGCAGATGCAGTTGCAGGAGGTATATAGATCAAACTCGTCCTTTAACCATAACTCATTTATACTTCAAAGACAAACTGCATTAGTTCGGCTCAGCCTCTTCCCTATCAAAAAAAAAAAAAAAAATCAAACCCAAACCACTTCTAATAATGTTTACAAAGCAATACCCCATTTCTGCTTCTAGATTTCTTCCAAAATGAGTATTTTGACAAGAAACATGAAGGAAATGATGAATGTACTTTTTCAGGGAGGAAAAGAACAAAAATTAAACTCTTCTTATGTGATAACAGTATGTGTACTAGAGAACAAAAACTGTATGTTGATATCACAACATTAAACCAACAAAGAACAACAACTCCAAGAAATTCATTTAAAAGTCTCACTCTTCTTGTGAATAAGGCTGATGCAATTATGACTGGAGCCTCCGGTCAGCAAAATCAGCGGCGGGCCCAGCCTGGAGCACTCCTGTCCCACCAGGAACAGCATTGCTGCAGCTCCTCTCACATCATCCGTGCTGCCTTGGGCTATGGAGCACCTTTGATTAAGATGGGCCTTGCCCATGGCCTTGTATCTTCAGCAGTGTATGGTTGGAGTGGTTATTCTTTTTTCTGACACAATAAGGATGGGGGTTGGTGTTTGAATTCAGAGCCTTACCACTACACATATTTGCAATGACTGATCACAAATGTGCAGGCTGACAGAACTGTAAAGATAAGCTTACCACAGCATGTCTGAGGTACACGGACCAGATGCGATATCTGTAAATAGTTTCTTGAAAAAAATAATCCCAGAAGTTTCACGTAAAACATATCAAGAAATTAATGGGTCAGCTCCTACACAGAAGTTTTTCAATACTAGTCATCTACAAATCATCTCCTGCAGGCAGCTTATTCACAGAGGTGAAACATGCTTAAAAGTGTAGAAGGGAAGGCAACAGTGCTGAGTGGACACTTGGGTGACTGGCATTAGGAGGAGCAGTGTCTCCCCCTCCCTCCTTGGCTGTAGCTGTGCCTGCTTACAGCTGTCGCAGGAGATGATGTGGAACACACATGACGACGGCATCGCAGTGCCATCAATTGTCTCTACAGCACAGCCAAAAAGCAACGGGGAAAACTCATAACCAAAAAAGAAAAAAAAAAGCTTTAATAAATATTCTAGCATGGCCTTAGATTTCAGCACAACAGTGACATGGCTTTCCCAAAAATGGGATAAGATGCACTGGGTTCATGGATCTGCCTAGGCAAACATATGGGGTGTAAGTGGGGTCTGAGGCTCTTTTCCTTGCAGGACAGGAGAAGCGTAGCTGGGTGGCAAAGCTTGTCAGAGTTTGGTAGAGTGGCGTGTAGGGAGTTCTGATGTCTGCAGATGAAAAAGCAGGTATCAGTGAGATGGATCTGTTTCCCAGGAATACTGAGATTTACGGGATGAAAGAGGGATTCCCCTAAAAGAGCTTTAAGGTAGCAGTTTTCTACTTTTTCTGCTAAAAGGTAGTGTTCAGAATGGAGAGGTCTGTTAGGCACGCTTTGTAGGAACAGTATTTTAACTTCTTAGAAAACCTGACCTGATGGAAAAGCCTTTTGTTAGGAATGCACGAATTTACTTACCTTCTGTAAGATTTCCCCTGTACATTGTGTCTGTTAGGAGATACAGAGGTTGCATGTGGCCAAAAGAACGTGCATGAAGAAGATGCGGTTCAATGTCTAGGTATCCAGGTGTTATGTACTGAAAACGTGTCTTGCAGAAACACACTAAAGGTGAATACAAGGTCTATTGCATTTGCCAAGAAGTTTAGAAAAATATCTCCTGCCTTTCCTAGTGATAAGGAGATCCCTTTCATACGCTGTTCAGAAGGCCCCACCAGAAGAGGTTTGTGGAAAGGAAGTTCTAACAACAGAAAAATATTTTGTTGCCTTGTAACTAGATGTGCTTGCATTGAAAAAGGCTGAAAAAGAGTGCTGAAGACTTTACATGCTTTTTTTCCCCTTTTTTTCTCAGTATGTGCTGACAACGAGAATGAACTAGAGGCAGACCAGCAGATGGACAACTTGTACCTGAAAGCTTTGGAGGGATTTATTGCCGTGGTGACACAGGATGGAGACATGATCTTTTTGTCAGAGAATGTCAACAAATACATGGGTCTTACCCAGGTAACTTGTTCACTAACACTTTCCTGTCTTTGTAATACAATTCCTAGAAACGAGTCCAATGCCTAAATGCAGAAAAACAGCAGCGTGTTATTGCAAAAAATACTGGAAATAAAACGTCTTTTATTTCTCAGGCAGGTACTCTGCACACCAGACAACAGTGGGTTTTTCCCTCTCCCTTTCTATCAAAGTTGCAGTGTCTTTGGTGACTGCAAACTTGTATTCCTAGATATTACTGTGGCGAGAACGGACATTTTTTTATTCAACTTGTGCCTTAGACTATGGGACAGAGGGGATAGAGCTGCACTTTGGGTCCCCCCTTTTCTGCTTTGTGGATTGAGGGGTTTCTCCTTCTGTGTTGAAAATAACTGGTGGTGTGGACTGTTAACTGCACTGTGCCAATCCAAAGATAGGGAATTGTTCTGGGGAGAAAATGGAAAGTTATGCATAGGGTAAACAAAGAGATGGTCACAATATGTGTCTGTGAGCATCCTGTCAATGCACTTGGTTCTGGTGACTGGTTTCATCTGAATAGGTGGTATTTAAAAACAGATAAATACTATCAGTTGCTTTTATTTGGCTAACTATAGTTCTTCTGCACAGGTGGAATTAACTGGACACAGCATTTTTGACTTCACTCATCCATGTGACCACGAAGAAATTCGGGAGAATCTGAGTCTGAAAAATGGTAGGAATGAAAATACAAAAGTTACTGTTTGTTTTTTAAATAATCAAATGAAATAATTGGGTAGCAGTAGAGATCTGTTAGGAATGGTAAAGGGAATTTTAATTCCTAGACTAATCATTTATTGTTATTCAGTGATTTGCGGATTTGTTTTGTTTTGCCAAATATTGCTTAAATATGATAGCACTAAGAACTGTTTGTTTAGTGTTTTCCTTTCATCAAGTTAAGACAGGCATAATATTTTCACTTGCAATGCTTTGCAAAGATTTATGTGCTACGAGCTAAAACATAGATTTAAATGCATAAAGTCCTATTTAAGTTCCACTTAAAGTTTTAGGTCTGAGCTCTACAAACTGCTCTTCAATGGTCCATGCATCTTTGATGGTCTCTGCAGGTAAATTATCTGAGAATTGGTCTGTTATTTCTATTGAATCCGTCATGCTTATAAGTAGAAGAAATAAAGAAGCAAAACTAAGAAAGCTCATTTGCCGTTGTTCTTACACAGGTCCAGGCTTTGGAAAGAAGAGCAAAGAGATGTCAACTGAACGTGACTTTTTCATGAGGATGAAATGCACCGTTACCAACAGAGGCAGAACCGTTAACCTCAAGTCTGCCACATGGAAGGTACTATATTTGAGCCACAATAAGTGGTTTTGATTTTAAAAGACAATTTGGCATGTAGAGAAAGTACATTTTAAGTTTGCTTCTCATTCAAAAATTATTATTTCAGGTTTTGCACTGCACTGGGCAAGTTAAAGTGTATAACGCTTGCCCTCCTCACACTCTGTGTGGGTACAAAGAGCCTCTTCCCACCTGCCTTATAATAATGTGTGAGCCTATTCAGCATCCTTCGAACATCGATATCCCCCTGGACAGCAAGACCTTCTTGAGTCGCCATAGCATGGACATGAAATTTACCTACTGTGACGACAGGTAAACTCCACTGATTTTTCCTTTCCATAGGAAAGGTGTTTCTATCTTCTGGAACAAAACAAGCAGTCCTTCCAGTGTCCTCCTGTGTGGACCTGGTAGGCAAGGACTAGAAGAAGGTACAGTCTGTTACCAAGACAGCCATCCAGTGGCTCACTGAATCCATCTCAAATCTCAGTTTAGGCAAAATAGTACTCCTGCTGCATTTCCTCCTTCTACTGAGGAGGAATTCAAGTTCACTGTCAGAAGATGAGGCAACTTAGATCCATAAGCATTAGTTTCTTGGCTTTTAACAACTTGAAGAGTACCCAGGATTTCTGTTCTTGTTTTTTAGAGAATGTCTCAAACAATGTGCTTTATGGACCTTAGTCAAGGACTGTCTTACAGTTGGTTTGGCCCAGGATGCTATTACTGGTTAGCTGGAAAATACTGTGCTATCTATGCTCTAGATTAACTAAGAATTGCTAAGGCATCCAGAGCATCTGCAGCTCTGAAATGGAGTTGCAGCCTCTTGCTCAATGAAAAGCAAACAACTTTTGCTGGTTATCTATCTGCTCCTTTTTAGTGGCAAAATGAAGGAGAGGGGAAGATCTTGGGTCAAGCAAAAAAGGGCTGTGTCCTCCACTCCCCACACCTCCCTCTTGAGGGGAAAAAAAATGGAGATCCCCCTAGTCTCCACCTGCCTGATTTCCTCAGGGAAAATCCATGGGATCTCCATGGCATTTCATGCCATCTACCTCTTCTCCCTGTCTACATATTGTAGCAACCATCTTCCCTGTGTGTGAGCGAGCTGCAGATCCCTTCCCATGAAGTGTCCTCCTGTTCCCCGTTTCCCCAGAAAGTCCTGTCTGTACTGCTGTGGGTTTGGTGGGTTTTTTTGGGATTTTTAAGTTTGTGAGATCATCTTTGAATTTAATATGAAGTTTTCTGTCTAATGAAACTGATCTCCTGAAATTCAGAGATGCTAGCGACCACTGAGGTCTGTAAGGTTATCAGCGGGATTATATGTATGCTCACATCTTACACAAAAACTCACAGGATTGAGATCTTGGTGATTTTTTTCATCCGTCAAGGGATTTTTAAAACTTGTTCTTAGCAAGATTATGATTTTAAACAATGTGATGAAGCAACCATGTAAACTAGCAGTGTTAGCAGCTGTGGATGAAAGCAAGATTACAAGGGTGAAACTTGTGACTGACCTTCTTCTGACCTCTCTGAGAATATAGCAGCAAGTGTGCTCTAACTAGAAATGTCCTCTGATGTAACCGCAATAAACCAGACTTTTTTTCTTTTTTCTTTTTTTTTCTTACTTTTTTTTTTCTTTTCTTTTTCTTGTCAATACTTTCAGGATTAAAATATTGAGATATCAGTAGGATTTTGCTGCTGGGGGAAAGCAACAATATGGTAGTGACTCATTATTAATAGCAACGTACCTCTGAATTACTGGGGCCATTCAGTGGCAGGCTGGAGGAGAGTAACAGGATTTTGCTGTATTGCAGCATTCACATGTCTCTGCCAGACTTAATGCATAAGCAATTATAAATGAGAATTAGAGGGACTGATACTGTCCCATTAAAGATACACATGCTTATTTTAAAAACAATGACATATTATGCCCTGTCTTAAATAGGAGGAGTTGATTTACAGGGAAAACTTTTCACATGGCAGTGAAATACAACAGCTTCCTCTGGAGGATTTAATTTGTAGGGGATTTCAGAGATTTTTCTTCAAAAGCAGGCAAGAAAACAGCATGTCTTTCACTAGATAGTTTTGGTTGGATATTTCATTCATTTTTTATTGAGATTATAATAAAGCTGTAAAAGCCAGCCAGGCCAGAGAAGGAAGAGATCTCACAAACCTTACAGGTTCTTCCCAGCAGATCCTCCTGGCTCTCGCTTCCCTCCCAGAGGGATGTTGATTTCTCTCCAACAGGCGACACATCACTAGGCACATAAAAATGCAAAACACTCAGCTGTTCTTATCAAATTCGGTGCTGCTAGACAAATTGCATTGAAGGAGCAGCTTATGCCAAGAATGTAAATCCAGGCTGAGGAGCGGAGGAGGAAAAGCAGCATGTGTCAGTCAGATGCCTGAACCCTTTTCAATGTCCTCTGGCGTTTCTGCAGCAACACAGCAGGGCAGACACAGCTCATTTCTCCGTAAGAGATGGTGTCTTTCCAGTTCAAGGCTGATATCATTGAGGGCAGCATGCCTCCTCTAGCAGGCTTCTGCAGCGATCCGAGCATCCCCTTAGCAGTTCATCTGGTGCGAACAGGTCTGCTTCCAGGGAGCATTAAGTTTTTATTTTTGAAGCGTTCAGTTAAGGAAGCTGAAGGTTTCCTCCAAGGAAGAAACTGAGGTGCTTCTGAGGAATTACCTTAATGAATGGCAGCCGTGCTGGACCTTACTAATGGAAGCATCCACCTTCAATGTGAATCTTAAGCGGGTACAAAAGAGAGTTGCCCTTGTATATGATACTTTCCTTGCAGAAAATGAGGATCACATCTGTCATTTCCTTAGGAAAGCTCATGGTCTCTGTCTGTCACAAAGCAACACGCAAAATATAGGCTGACTACCTTTCAGCACTTTGTAACAAAAACTAGTTGGCTGATATGAAGTGCCTTGATTCTTTTGTTCTTTCCTCAGAGGGGTACAGGACAGATGCGATGTGAAGCAGGCAAGACTGGTCATCCCTCATTTAAAATGTGTGAGACACTAGCCCATATATTTTGCCTTCCAAAAATAATTTATATATGTGGGCCTATGACTTGCCAGTGGTTAGGTGGGATATGTTTGTATTCTTAAAATGGCTTTTGCAAGGCGATGAGCCTGTAAAGAAAGGTTTGCGAGATATAACAAAAATAGGTTGTTCTGTTAAATGCCTGCTTCAGCCATTCCTGGAGAGCGATTTAAAACTGTTCCTTTGCTCCACTCGGCTAAGTGGTTTACAGGAAGGATTATTTTAGCCGTAACACGGAAATGCTGATCAGTGGTACAATTCAATAATCCAAGTGAGGATTTAGTTCAGCTGCACAATAGTTTTGTGTCAGGGAAGATCTCCAGTGAGGGTACAAATACAAGGCAAGTATTTGTACGAAGGCATTTTTGTAACCTTGGTGGCAAAACTGATGCTTGCCGTATCTTCACGGGGGCGATGGGTGGATAGAAATAGTGGCAGCATGTTTCTGCTGCGGAGAAATCCACAAAACAGAAGTGAAAACTGTATCTGAATTTGGTAGAAAACCCTAAAACTACTTCAGGTGCCCCAGCACATGCAGTCTCATGGCTTATGCGTAACAAAGGGAAACCATATGCTGTGTCTTGGAGGGGACCAGGGTTTTGAAAGCAGAGAGGGTAACGTAGGTGGCGTTGGCTTTTCACCTTCATCCTTGCAACCTCTCTGGGGTGCAGGGGAGAAGAGGGGAAAGCGGTCTTTGCCTGTAATTACTGTGGGTAGCATGTGCGAGGGGAGAGAAGGATAAGGAAACAAATCTATTCTGAACGGGGTGAGATGCGCAGGCGGCAACTCGGGAGGCTGCGTCACAAACCAGTTCCCTGGCACTGGCACACTGAAAAGCATATGTTCTCCATTACTTTGAAGGCATGGCTTGCTTTGGGGATTTGTGTGTTCCTGGTTACAAGAAATCCAATTAGTTATACTCTTTTTAGCTTTTTCTTGATCAGAACATTTTAATGGAAGAGTTGAAGAAGAAAAAGGAGCGATGGAGATTGTGTTGTGATTCAGAATAGGATGGTGCAGGAAGATGCAATGCCAATAGTGTTGGTCCCAGTTAGGTTTCTCCTAATGAGTGTACATGTGGGATCCAGGCTGCGCCTAACTGAGGGGAAACTGAGTTGTCTGGTGCTTCCAGTTAGGTCCTTGTAAAACAGAAATATGCAGGCACAGGACCTTTTATGATGGTTTAAGTCAGTTTGCCATTTGGCCAATATTTGGGGAATATTTTTAAATTAGGTAAGAATGCAAATAAGCTTTTGAAAGTACCTCCTGTCCTCCATCCCTGCTTAGGGGGAAACTGCAGTATGGAGACAACAGTCAAGTGATGATATCTGAAGCCAAAGATCTGCATTTGGCAAAACTGGCTTTTGGTGTATGTCAGTCATATTTAGGAAAAAAACATGACCAACTTCTTTCGTTAATAATGAAACTTTGATTTAGATAGACCAAATGAATAGGAGAGACAGAGTCCTGGTGAAGTTTTTCATGTGCCCATCTAGTCTTTTTGCCTAGCAGGGCAAGCCAGCCATTCCTCTGAGGAGTGGACAGGGGTCCCAGGATTTCAGGATTTTGCATTTTGTTTTTTTCATTGGCCTGGCTTAGAGTAGAAGAAGCCATGAGTATTTTAAAGAGGAAATGTGGGTACTTGGCAGGACTGCCATGCCACCCTCTAGCAGGCTGGCAGAGTGCTTTACCCTAGGCATAGTGGCTGTGTTGGACCTTATTTTTTTTTTTTCTTTAAACTCATTCTGCTTTAAGTATAACTTTGTTTGTTTGTTCCCGTCAAGACCAATTTAACTTCAATAACTTGGTAACAGTTTGAATACAGAAAGACTTTGTGAAGAGATCCACACCCTCACACGCAGTCCACACACGGCCTGACGAATATACACCCAGCTATTTTTTCATGAGCAGTAAACATTACAGCAGTCTTTCACAGAGAGTCTGACTTCTCAGTCCTGATGGTTCTTACGATACTATTTTAACTCAAGAAATGGTATACAATAAAAAGCTTTGTGGTCCTATAAAGAGACAGAAAAGCACAATTTTCAGAAAAATCAAACCACTTGTAATAGCTCATCTCATAGGAGATGCAGCCTTTGAAGCAGTGAGCTCTGTTTGCTTTGCCATGCCTCAAAGAGATAATGCAGGGCAAAATCGTACAAATCTAGAAATAGGGTTCAGATCACTTGTTTCTCCATTGTGTACCCTAAGCACAAAACTCCGCCTTGACTCCACGTCCCAAGAAATGGGTATATTAAGAGAAACTGTAGTGTTCAAAAAAGCATTTAAGTAGCAGTAGTTGGGACAGATACAGTACTGCGGAGGGCTACTGCCCGCCCACCTCTTTACTGTGTTTTCTGAGATTTTTCACCTCTGTAGATCATGGTGACAAGTTTAGCTCAGAAAACTGCAGTGCCAGTCTGGCAAAATTAAGATTCCCCCAAAGGTATTTGTGTTTTCAGAAACGAGTGGTTAACAGGAGAATAAACAGCCTCTCAGCCCACCTGTTGTCTTCAAAAAAAAAATTATTATTATCCTTCTAATTAGCACCAATTTAGCTTTTACAAATGCAAAGGAAACACAAAGCCTGAATGCCATCCAAAACCACCATACAGTTTGTTTTCCAATTTTGTCATTCCACAGCTTGCACAAAGAGCAATTTTCTGTCTGGTGTCTAAGTAAAAGTAGAAGCCTTGTGTTCTGGACTCAGTTTTGTAAGTGACCCTTTGGTCCCACGGGGCATACACGTTTCTGTGACTCTCTTAGTTATGTACTCCTCCTCTTCATAGCTCCGCAGGATGCTTTTTCCCTTGCACTTAGTCCTTTGTGTATTCACTTGGCATTTTGTATTGCTAAGAGGCTCCCGTGGAAAGCACGCAGAGATTGGAGAGTGCACCTCACTGGCAAACCTCAAAGTGATGCTCGAGTGAGGTCAGTGAGGGACCTTTGCTGAAGCGCTCACTGCCTCCTGGCCCAGGTGCTGTTCGGGCTCTCAGCTGCAGCCAGTCTTCTCGGGAAAGTCACGGGACGGGTGTGATGGAGACAGGGATGCCTGCCTGTCTCGGACCTGGTGCGTAATGCGGCATGGAAATGGCTAATCTGATTTCCAGCCCCGCACTGGCTGCAGCCCGGGGGATTTTTTTTAAGCTTTTCAGAGTCAGCAGGACCAGAGGAGGAATAAAGGAGGATGTGCTCTGCCAATTCATGCACCCAAACCCAATACTGCTAACAATTCTTGGAGAGAGGGTGTTTGTTATGAAATAGTGGTATTTAAAAATGTATCTAGGAAACATTGTCAGACAGTTTTGTTTTGTTTTGGGTTTTTTTAGGATGGGAGAAAGAAACATGCTATGAATTTTTTAAAAATAGTTTCACTCCCAGGAGTATTTAAAGAGAAATGTAATAGTGTCATCTGAATCTGAATAGTGGTAGCAGTTTAACAGATCAGTTAACAAGGGCATAGAGGCTGTTTAGCAATTTATTAAAACAAACAAAATTCTTTTAAAACAATTACTCTTGATTGGTATTTCAGAGTTACCAGGCATGGGGTTAGAATTTGGCCAGTGTTGTGGGGTTTATGGGTAATTCTTTGATATCTTATTTTTATCTTTCTGTATATTTTTTAGATGGCTGTAGTAAAAAGATATCAACCCACCGCTTGCTAACTGTCATCCAAGATTACATTAGATCTGATCAAATTTGACATTGTCACGGCAGGGTCACACCACAAGTCATTCTGTGCCATGGTATGACAAGAAGAGTAATTTTATAGTGAGGGCGCTCGTTATGAACAGTGAGGAGAAATTTGAGAGGGGAACTGAGGATTGGAATAGACGATTTGGTGTAGAGATTGCAATTTCTATATGGTAAGAGTTGAGAGTCCCTCGGCCTGCTTGCTTGCTATCTCAGTTCCACTGTTGACACCCGTGAGGGCTGTAATGTGGTTTTGGATTTGCATTGGTGCCGCTGGATACATGATGCTTCTTTTTTTTCCCCCCCATTATCTTTATTTCCTTTTCCTTCTCCCTGCTGAATCCCCACTTTCCTCACGGCTGAACCCCCACTTGGCCCTCAGCTCCCAATGACTGGTTTAAGAGTAAATCCTCAACTTCCTGAATTTTAAAAGCCTTCCCTTTGTAATGAGCTCCAAACTAACCGGGATGGTTTTATGATAGTATGCCATTATATAACCAAAGGCCATAGTTTCTGTTTTTAAAGACTGTATATTTACACTGGTCCTGGCAAAAGCCTCTGGCCACTTAGACCAATGTCTCCCAGCTGACTGTGTAAACGCAAGCAATGACTGTATTTTGGGAGCCTTACTTTTATTAGGGCTCCTTCTGTATTTGTTGTTTTCTCCTGATGGTTCAGCTCTGATGACCAATTCATTGTGAGAACTTCTGCTTTTGTTAAAAAAGAAAATACATTTGTGGTTTCAGAGAAAAGTTACAGGTTTGACTGGGGTGCAATTTAAAAGCTCAGAAGCTTGTCAGTGAAGAGAGTCAAAGAAGCATCTCTCTTTGAAACCCAATTCAAGAATTTCCCCTTGGGAAATTTGGTGGGTCTAACTGTAAGCATAAATAAAACTGTAAACATAAACAGAAGAATAAGTCTTTGGGGGATCCCTATAAAACCAACTACAGTCTTTGCTCAGCTAAACCATTATAAACCCAGGTTCGTTCCATAGAAATTAGGACAGAGAGTAGTTTTCAGAGTGACAAAACCAAGGTGTCCCGGGGGTATGAGCTATACAGTTCTGTGAGGGCAGGGAAAAGCTGACTCAACGCCTTGGCGTTCAAACCGTACACAAAATAGCTCCATCTTATGTGTCCTCCTTGCTGGAGGGGGATCTGGGAGATGAATGCCATGCTCTTGCTCTGTTTGTTTTACAGTATTTACATGTCTGTCTTGTAAAGACATGCTTGTGTCTGGAGGGCTGGGCCAAGGCTGTCCTTCCAAGGAGTACACAAACCTGAGGATGTCTCTCTTCAAAGTAGCAACACCACTAATCAGATGTGGTGGTGGCAGATACAGCCTTTCCAAGGGAGTTAGTTACGAGGCATAAAACTTGGGCACTACCGCTGATGGCAGTGACGTGCCGCAAGATGTGGCCATTCCTCACAGACCTCCTGGCTTTTCAAGGTTTCTGACAGCTTAGCAGTCAGTTTGTAGTCGTTTCTGCTACTGCTCTCTGCTACATTGCAGGTTGTTATTGCAGTTTAAAAGCTAGGAAAAGGCATCAAAGAGTCTCCTTGACTTGGAAAACAGTAATGTTTCCCTATTTTCCCAGAAGATATGATATCTTTGCTTTTGAATGATTTTTACTGTGTTTCCTGTAAAGTTGTGTGTGATGGTATGTCAAATTGAATTTAGGAGAAAAAAACCACCCTTTTCCTCCACCCCCTCATTAGAGAAAATCATCTGCACAGTTTGATGACCTATTTTCACTTATTCAGGAACTTGTGAGAAATCCTGCCTTGCCCAAGTACTCAGAAAGGCTCTGAAAAAGGTCTAGGTTTTGAGATCATAGCTTTCTTTGTGTAAAGTCCTACTTAGTTTGTGGATTAGTCACCCAAGTAACCTAATCCACATGCTGAAGTTCTCATATAATTGAGAAACACTAAGTAGAAGAGCTGATTTTTTTTTTCCTTTAACTGCCCTTAACTTCTCACCTTGCATATTTATTTTATTAAATGCAACACCCAGTGTAGTGATTTAACCCTTTTATGAATGTTTTTTTTTTTTAAAATGTACACATGCTTTTAAACCTGATGGTGCCAACCACTACTACCCTCACGTGTATTTGATTTTGAATGATGGTAGTTGGGAGTTTCTGCATGTAGTGGACAGCATTAGAACTTTGTCAGCAATGCTTTTCCAGTTGAGACCTTCTATGAGAGATACGGTGCAACAGGCCTGGGAAAATTTGCATCACGTGTAATGACATCCCTAAGAATTTTTATTCCAGTAGTATTAAAAGGCAGTTTATTCTGAACAAGGAAATATTTCAAAACATGGTCAGAAGTCCTCTACAGCTCCTAATGTATTTGGAAGTCCAAAATTTCTCATATTATGGTTTTAAATCTGTTAGTCTAAGGACTAGAGCTGATTGATAGTTGCCCTGCACATGTAAACATAAGACTAAGGCGACCTGGATTTTAAATATTTGGTTTTTCCTCAATCAAGAATAACAGAGTTGATTGGATACCATCCAGAGGAGCTGCTGGGCCGTTCAGCATACGAGTTCTACCATGCCTTGGACTCTGAGAGTATGACCAAGAGTCACCAAAACTGTAAGTCGCATTCTTCTTTTTCTTCGTAGCTTGCACATAAAGCACAGCTTGTGGGTACCTCAATAAGTAGTTGAAAATACAAATATACCTTGTCTGCAGATATTCTCTGAGAACAGTATTTATGCTTTGCAAGAAAGCTTACAGATTACCGTGCTTGTCTAGCTAAAACCTGCTGCTGATCCTTATGGAAGGTCTGATTTTTGTCGTAATTAAAACTAAACTTGGATGGTAGGGAGGAGAAGCACCGTCTCTCTAAGGGATTAATACAAGAATCAGCTGAAAATTTGAAAAGCTGAGTTAGGCAGTACTAGCCTGGTGAGAAGTGAGTTTAGTGGTGGTATCATCCTTCTGGAGTGC